GACTTCATGGATCAGGAAACTTATGAAAATTTTTTTGGAAACTGACAGAGTTGTCAAGTATTTCCTTTTGCCAAATAAATACACTACAAGGAAAAAATGCCCTGAAATCTAAAATCAGAATCATTTCACAAAAGAACGTTGTTTTTTAGGTTGTCACTTAATTTAATCAATGTGATTTTCTGATTTGTCTTGTTTTCTACTTACATCCTACAGTTTCTGTTCAGGTCCAAATATTGATCTTTTATATGTCATCTTTTAGCGGTTATTTCAAAGAAGATTTGTGCGTAACTAACTCTCCTAGTCATGGAAACAGAGTAACACAATTATGAAAACCACAGAATCTGGAGCAAATTGCTTGTATCTCAGTTTGGCCATGTGCTAACTATGTGGCCGCTGGCAAGTTCCTTAACCGCCTTGTATCTTAGTTTCATAATATTTAATATGGCAATATTAATAGTATCTATCTCAGAGGGTTGTTGTGGGGGTTAACACTGTGAGTTAAAATGCACAAAGCTCTCAGAATAGTGCCTTGTACAATTGTGTTATATAAGCACTTGCTGTTATTGTTAATCTACGTATGTCTGAAAAAAATGTTCATGTTTTGTTCTCATTCTTGAATTATAGCTCAGTTAAGCGTGAAATTCTATGTTGACCATTTTTGCCTTTAGCATTTTTAAGCTATCACTCCACTACCTTCTTGCATCTATGGTTTAGAAGCCTGCCTGCTCCCATTATGATAGACTTTCCTTTCTAAGTCAGAATCTCCTCTCTGATTTGCTTTTAAGGTTTTTCTCTTTACATTTGATGAGCTGTGGCTTTACCCTTGTGTGTCCATGTGTGAATTGAATTTCATTTTTCAGAATTCAATCATTGTGTACTTTATGATTAGGTTCTACTGCAAGTGATTAAAAATAAAAAACTCTCTAAACCACAGTGGTTTATACAACATAGACATTTCTTTCCTTCTCAATGAGGCAATGCAGGTGGCATTTAATGACATCAGGGGCTCAGGGACCGTTCTATCTTATCGTTCTACCACTCCCAGCAAGGAGAGACTCCACCCAAATGATAATATCTCTAGTCCAGCTACTAGGAAAGGGAAAGTACAGAGAAGGGCTACCTCCTCCCTTGATGGGCATTTCTGGACGTTGTGCACGCTGGTGCAGTTCTATCCCATAACATACCTTGGTGGTCAAGCCAGCTACAAGGGAACCAGGAAATACTGTTTTCACTTCGGCAGCCAATTCCCAGTTAAAAATGGGTGATTCTATTAATAAGGTAGAGGGGGAGATTTGTTATTGGCAACCAGTAGTAATCTCTACTAGGGCTATTTTTATTTCAAATTCCTCCCCCTCATAGTCCTTCTAGTATATTCTCTGAAGTTCTTAATAATAGGCTGTTGTGTTGCTTCTTTTTAGGATTTCTTTTATCTTTTTCTAATGTTGTCTGTGAGATTTCTTTAGCTCTATCTTCCAGTTTACTATGTTTTGTGTGTTTTTCCTTAAGCTACTGTCTCAGTTAAGTTTTTTTTTTTTAATGACTTTTTTTTTTTATCCCTAGAATTTCTATAACCTCTCCTCCCGCACCCTCAATATGGTTATTTGTATGGTATTTTGGCTTTTCTACATAGTTTTTATTCTTTTATATCTTGAATTGTTTTATGCATACTTAGCTATAATTATGCTCTATTGTCTGTAATTCGTGGGGCATGAATTCTGCTAACTCCCTTCCCTAAAAGTTTTCCTTCTTGATCTCATCATGGGTATTTCTTTTCATGGTGGCTCACATATTCAGGATTGCAAAGTGTTAGAATGGGGCCGTGTCATATTAATCTCTATCAGGGTCCTTCAGGTTTCCCTGGTTCAAACCAGTTTTTTATTGCTTTCTTGGTTTGGGAACTGGCACTGCTCATGAAGGGACATTTGACTCCCACTCCTGTGTGCCTTCTGCGTGGTGATCAGTGCACTTCCTCCCCTAATTCTCAGGCTCATGGGACGGGCTATCTAGTGTCCTTTTCACCGCAGTGGAGTTTTCTTAGCATCCTGGCTCTATGCTTAGCTCAAACTCGGCGGCATGTGGGCCTCAAGTCCCTCTTCCAGCTCAGCTATGAAAATCCTTGCCACCAAGTTCAACGTCTGTTTCCACTTCTTCAGTTGCCTGTTTAGCCTTGCCTCTTGCTCACCACTGTCGTGTTCTGTTTCTGGCACCCGAGGATTTCAATTTCTTGTTTTAGTGCCTCGTTGTGCATTTCAAATGTTTTTGTTGTTTTAATGGACATCTATCTGTGTTGAAATGACGCGTGCTTCCCAAATCAACTTAAAAGTTCGTAATAAATAAGAAGTCTAACAACGAGTATCTTAAATCCCCCAAAGTACTAAAATTATAATCTCTCAATAAAAGCATTGACATTTTTTTTCCTCATGCTTCTTACATGGGCCTTGGTGTGTGTGTGTATGTGTTTCATTTATCCTGTTGGCATTTGGAAATAAATAGACTGGGCATTGAGAAGCCAAGGTTCTGGTCCTCGCTTCAGTGCTTGCTGACTGCCAACTTAGAGGGACCATGGAAGGTCTCTGAGCCTATAATTAACCATAAAATTGGGATATAAGTATTTGCTCTGCTCCTAGCATTATATGGATCACATGATATAATGGATTTGAAAATGCTTTTAAGCTTAAAACATACAACTGTATGGTATTAGTAATAGCAATGTTATTAACACATTCATTAAGGTAGTCTTAAAATATGGAAGTTCATGTGGTTTTTTTTGTTTGTTTGTTTGTTTTTGTTTTTTTGTTTGTTTGTTTGTTTGGTTTGGTTTGGTTTGGTAAGCTGAAAAAGAAAATCCTGTATCTTGGTAAGGGATTTTTATTCTACTAAAATACCTAATAAGGGAATTACTTGGAAAACATTTTCCTTGTGAAATTTAAGAGTACTATCTGTACTGACAGGCTGTTATAACTTTAATAGGCTATGAAATTCATCGTAGAGAGATACACCCTTATCAGTTAAAAAAGACACTTGAACCTGGAAATCATCATTGCATTTTGTTAAGTGTTTTCTGAAACTATGGATACTGAAAGTTCTATTGCTGTTTGGTGAGGGACCATAAATATTTTTCTAATGCACAAAAGATGTCCTCTTATTTGAAAGTGTTGAGAACCGCCAACCTAGACTATGGTAGTGGTCCACTAACTAAGCTATTTGGCTCCAGATCCTCTATTTCTTACTAAAACATATTCTCTAAGAAAGAGGAATGTGTTACCCTGGCCAGTTTTCTCAGTGGTTAGAGCATCAGCCTGAGGACCAAAGGGTCATATGTTCGATTCCCGGTCAAGGGCACGTACCTGAGTTGCAGGTTTCAATATCCGGGCCCAGTGAGGGTATGTGTGGGAGGCATCCAGTTGATCTGTCCCTCTCACATTGATGCTTTTATCTTTTTCTCTCTCTCCCCCCTCCACTTCTCTCTTCCACTCTTTCTCTCCTAAAAAAAAAAAATCAATGGAAAAAATACCCTCAGATAAGGATTTAAAAAAAGAAAAGATTGTGTCAATTCTCAGTGATGTTTGTCAGTCAACTGTGAGGCTTTATTGCAGAGAATTTATTTACTAATATTTAAGTATGTAGTTTTCAAATGATTTATTTAAAAGGAAATTAGAAATTGACTCAAAATGGCAGACAGATATACACATCTGCTTATAAAAATACATATAGCTATATATAAAACAGAGAATAAAATAGAGTTTAATAGCATTGAAAAAACAGGGAGACTTTCTATCAAAATAAACACATTTTTAATAAATTTAAAAAGCTATTACCAGAGAACAAAACTAAATGAAACAAAATCTGACACATGTGTAACATATGTAGCGTTGACTGCTGTGCAGATAGGTCTTACAGAACTCTGCTGAGAGTCCGTGGACATTGGGAAGGAGAAGGGACCTGGGACATGGATCCGTTTGGGAAATTAGGGAACCGCAGGTGGAGCAGCACATGTGTTTTCCCTGCCCGTTCTGCGGGGCTCAGCAATGGGAAGCTCTGGTACAGATCGAATCAGACACTGGGTCTGAAAAACCAAGGCCGTGCCCGAGCAGCCTCTGGCCCTCAGGAGGACCAAAGGGCCTCCCAGACAAGTCCTCCTCAGATCCTGTCTGACTGCATTTCCCAGCCCTGTCCCAAAGTCAGGCTGTGATGGACAGAAACAGCTTCTGCTGATAAGGATCTGGAAATCTCATACTCCAAGAAGCGTATGCAACCAAGAAGCACCAAACATTTAAGGAAGAAGTGCAATGCTAGGAAAGTGAGGCATGGCACTACAGACTATCATATTATTCTAAGCCCGTGGTCGGCAAACTGCGGCTCGGGAGCCACTTGGGGCTCTTTGGCCCCTTAAGTGTGGCTCTTCCACAAAATACCATGGTCTGGGCGAGTTTATTTTGAAGAAGTGGCGTTAGAAGAAGTTTAAGTTTAAAAAATTTGGCTCTCAAAAGAAATCATTGTACTGGTGATATTTGGCTCTGTTGACTAATGAATTTGCAGACCACTGTTCTAAGGGGATAGGAGAGGCTGTCCTACCCATACTATAGGAAGAGTCTTGTGTGTTTAGAAGGCATGCATAGATTTTGGAAATTTTAAATATAATACTAAAATTTTTATAAATTTCAATAGATGGCCCAGCATAATAATTGACAAGGCTGAATAGCAAATTAATAGAAAGTTAGTGTCATTTAGTGGTAAAGTAACATGGGAAGGATAATGAGAGAAAAGTTAAGAGGCATAGAAGATAGCCGAAACCTGTTTGACTCAATGGATAGAGCATCGGCCTGCGGAATGAAAGGTCCCAGGTTCGATTCCAGTCAAGGGCATGTATCTTGGTATCTTGGTTGCGGGCACAAACCCAGTGGGGGTGTGTGCAAGAGGCAGCTGATCAATGATTCTCTCTCATCAATATTTCTAACTCCCTATGCCCCTCTCTTCTTTTCTGTAAAATAATCAGTAATATATATGGCATAGAAGATAAATCCAAGTATTCCATCATTCAACGAGTAGCTGTTCCAGAAGGAACGAAGAGAGAGAATGGAGGGGGTGGAAATGAGAGAAAAGATTAGAGAATAAAAATTCTTAAGACCACTCTTAAAATTTTGATATAATTGTCTTTTTAAAAAATTCTCTTGTTTATGTAAATTGTGTGTTTTGAGGTTACTGATAACAGGAAAAAGCAACTGCAAGAGCCTACATGATGATTCTGAAATTTCTCTATGTTCCGAGGGTTAAGTCTTTATCTGAAGAAGGTACTTTATCTGGACTTTTCGCTGGCGGATTTGAAGGATTGTGCCTGGTGGTCGGAGCATCCGCTGCAGTCGTGGGAGCGCCATCCGCAGACATCCTCCCCGTGGGACTCCTGGGGCAGGCCTGGGCCGCCTCTCTGACGTCTGTTTCTGATAAGGGGGTTTTAGGCTCTAACAGCTCTGAGGACTTTTGTTGGCCGAGGCACGGTGAGGTCATTTTGCTCTCTGCTGGATTTCCTTTCTCTGGTTTCTTGGACTGTTCTGATGAGTATGGCCCTGGAGCAGTCAGTCCTGCCTCTGTTCCCTGAGGGGCGCTTGGCCTACTCCCTGGTTTTATCTCTATCTGCATAAAAACTCCATACCGCTGCAAAGGAAAACAAAGCTGACATTAATCAGGGAATACAAGTTGCTGGGACTATAAACTGAATTCATGTGTTAGACCCGTGGTTGGCAAACTGTGGCTCATGAGCCCCATGAGGCTCTTTGGCCCCTTGAGTGTGGCTTTTCCACAAAATACCATGGCCTGGGAGGGTCTGTTTTGAAGAAATGGCGTTAGAAGAAGTTTAAGTTTATAAAATGTGGCTCTCCAAAGAAATTTTAGTCATTATGCTGTTGATATTTGGCTCTGTTGACTAATGACTTTGCTGACCACTGTGTTAGATCAAGTCCTGGTGATTTAGGCATTTATATCTCTGCTGCTGCTTTTTTTTTTTTTTCCCCATCTCTGCTTCTTCATTGGCTGTTACCTTCATCCCAAAATTATTGGTGAACTTTTAAACAAATTATGAAATAGGTGCACCAGGAAATGAACAGGAAGGAAAAAGCAGAAAGTCATAGAAGCAACACCTCATTATCTGCCATTCTCAGCTCCTAATTCTTGGATTGTATAAGGCGATTCATATCAAATTTTATTCCTTGCTCCATAGGTTGCTGTGGGTATATAGAAACTACAGTTCATCAATGTGAGGATTTTTTATTCCAATGCCAAATGTCTATTAGCTCCCACAGATGACTTAGTTATGGTGAAATATGAAAACAAGCATTTGTAGTTGGAAAATATCCAGCCGTTGACTATTATTATATTTATTTGATTCTGTAAACCTTACATGCATCCCCCTGAACCACACATGTAAGCATATCAAAAAGTTTATCAAAATGTTTTTGCTATTACCTTACGTGAATGATTTTAATAATTTAAACCAAATTCTAAACACTGGGATCCAAAATTATGACGTCATTTTTTAGTTTTAACTGTGATGTGGTCAAGATTGTATAATAACCATGTTAACGTATTTAAATCGGCTTTGAGAAAGATGATGATGACAAAAAAGGCTTCAGGTTCTATCATAACTATATCCCATCATAAAGTATTAAGTAATTTATTCTAAATACTGTCTCACCTTACCCCGTATTGGCTCATTGGGAGTTTTCCTGGAATCATATTGTTGTAAAAAGGAGATACGTTCTATAAATTTCTTTTGAAGTTCTGCAGATGCGTCGGGAGAGGCAAGTGGAACTAAGTGGGGGAGGGGAAAGAAAAGATTTGTGAAGTCAGGACAAAAATTAGATTTGTGGATGGATATAAACTCAGCATTCCTAATATTCAGGCTTTATAAAAATGCTAATGAAACCAGGTTCTCCTAAATGTGGAAGGTTACCACACACATCTACATAATAAATATGATTCAGCATTCTTTCTCTATGAAAGGAACCAAATCAAAACAATCAGATTAGCCCCACATGTGAAATTACTTATAATTTAAAAAACTACTAGTAATGCAATAATGGCTTTAGAAATCTGTTAGATATGTTGCTTGCACAGATACCAACCAAAGTTTGAGAAAAGCATATGTCCAATATATTTTTCAACTTATTTTTGCTCCTAGAAAGGCTATGAGAAATTTATGCCCAAGTTGCTCCCAGCAAGCACCAGCAGAATGAACTGGGAGACGCTGGGGCTGCTGCAGTTGTAGTTGAAAACTTAATTTTTTTTTTTTTTAATTTCCCATTGACAGAAGCTCTGGAAATTTGCAAGAGTATTAAACCCTGACCTGAAAATAATCTTTCAATTTGGGGGGTAGGCATACAAGGGATTTTACATTGGTCTCGTTAACCTATTTAATATTTTAGATAATTTTTAAATTTCACTTTATTTTTAGCATACAAGGTTATGTAAGGAGTAAGAGTAATTCTCAATTTAGTAACATAAAATTCAGTCAAACTGCAAAATTAAAAACATTTTATTTTAAAAAATGTACATAAGTCTCTTCAATAAATGGTGTTGGGAAAATTGGACAGATACATGCAAAAAGAAAAAAAAAAGAAAAACTAGACCACCAACATACACCATACACAAAAATAAACTCAAAATGGATACAGGACTTAAACATAAGGTAGGAAACCATAGAAATACTAGAGGAATCCACAGGTAGCAAAATCTCAGACATATGCTAAAGCAATTCCTTTACTGATACTGCTCCTAGGGCAGTGGTAGGCAAACTCATTAGTCAACAGAGCAGCAAACCACTGCTCTTGAGCCACATGTGGCTCGTGAGCCGCAGTTTGCTAACCACCGTCCTAGGGCAATGGAAACTAAAGAGAAAATAAACAAATGGGACTACATCAAAATAAAAAAGCTTTTGCACAGCAAAAGAAACCATCAACAAAACAACAAAAAAGCCCACTGCATGGGAGAGCATATTTGCCAGTATTATCACCAATTTATATAATCTCCACCATTCACAGGGAATTCATACAACTTAACAAAAGGAAGATAAACAACCCAATCAAAAAATGGGCAATGGACCTAAATAGACACTTTTCTAAAGAAGACAGAAGGAAGGCCAAGAGACATATGAAAACAAGTTCAAAGTCACTAATTATCCGAGAGATGCAAATCAAAAGGACACTGATGCTCTCCAGCCTGCACCTTATTTTCTTTCCTTAAATTCACTGGAAGACACATAAGCCAGACCTTGTCTTTAGCCTTTGTCCACATAGGATTGCTGATTCCCTTCAGGGAACATGACCTAAGACATGTTAGACAGATGTTATAAAAGAAAGACAGCAAAATTTAAAATATATAGCCGAAACCTGTTTGGCTCAGTGGATAGAGCTTCAGTCTGTGGACTGATAGGTCCCAGGTTCGATTCCGGTCAAGGGCATGTACCTTGGTTGCAGGCACATTCCCAGTGAGGGGTGTGCAGGAGGCGGCTGGTCGATGTTTCTCTCTCATCAATGTTTCTAGCTCTCTATCCCTCTCCCTTCCTCTCTGTAAAAAATCAATAAAATATATTTTTTTAAATAATTTAAAATATATATAATGTGAAACAGCATTACTAGAATTTATGCACTAAGAATTTAAAATAAGCATAATATCCCCAAAACTATAGAAGATATTATAATATGAAGCAAGAATTAGAGGCCATAAAAATGAACCATATAGCCGAAACTGGTTTGGCTAAGTGATAGAGCATCGGTCTGCGGACTGAGGGGTCCCGGGTTTGATTCCTGTCAGGGGCATGTATGTTGGTTGCGGGCACATCCCCAGTGGGGGGTGTGCAGGAGGCGGCTGGTCGATTGTTTCTCTCTCATTGACGTTTCTGGCTCTCTATCTCTCTCCCTTCCACTCTGTAAAAAATCAATAAAATATATATTTTTTAAAATGAACCATATAAAATATTAGAAATAAAAATTCAATAATTAAAAAAGATGAGAACAATAGCAAGAGTCATGAAGTAGAAAATCAGACGAAGAAGCTCTCACAGAAGGCAGCAGAGAAGGGTAAAGAAATAAAAATGTAAAATAGAAGCTCAGCAACATGGACAGTAGAAGCACCAAAACTGAAATTCAGGAGACCTAGAAGAGGAAATAGAAGGAAATATTTAAAGAAATAATGATAAATATCTAAGAATTAAAGTTCAAAGACCTCAGATTGAAAGGATTTCCCAGATTACCACACAGGTAGAAAGACCAAGAATAAGAGACAGGCCAGTCCCATGGGATGCAAAATTTAAGGGAGCACTTGTGTGATCCTGGGAGTGAGTGCCTCAAATTTTGCACCCTCAGCTTCTTATTGCTCCACTTTCCTTCTAATCCTGCAGGGTAGATACATAAACACTCACATCTAAGACATTTATAGACAGATTTTCATCTGAGACAAAAAAAAAATTCTAAATGCTTTTAAAGAGGAGAGAGAGATTGCCAACAAAGGAGTAAGCAGATTTATATCAAATTGTACAACAACATTGGACACAATGGTAACTTATTTGATATTTTTAAACATTAAAGGAATTATTATACCCAACTAAACTGTCATTTAACTCTGAAGCCACAATAAAAAATAAAGGTCTCAAAATGTTTTCCCCTAAAACAGATCTACTTTGAAAAATTCTTATAGGAAGAACTCAATAGAAATAAATCAAGGAGGGTGCTTAAGGTATATAGAAAATTAAATTTTTTGTTTCCTTAAAAAGAGAAAGACTAAAGCACAGAAAAATAAGTACTATACCCAAAACAACTCAGAACTAAAATTCTGCTGCTTAACATATTAATTTGCATTAATATGTTAAACAGAAATAAAAAAATAGTATAAAATAAAAATAGTATAATTATTGCAACAGTGGGGGGGTTACCTCTCATTATTTGTAGGTGCTATAACTACCTGAATAGAAAAGCCACTAGAATCAATAAATTATGAGAATAAGAGTGTGGCAAAGCAAGCAGGTACGTGAATAAAAATCAAAAGCATTTTGCTGTAATAACAGTATCCTTCTAGAAAATAAAATGAAAAATAAGATACATTCTCTATAGGAACAATAAATAATAATTAGAAATTAACAAAGAATCCAGAAGCTCTCTATCAAGAAAAAATTTTAAACTTTTAACTTAAAAAAGTAGAAATTGATAGATTCCATACATTTATATAGAAGGGATAGTATATTACTGCAAAGATGACCATTTTCCCTAAATTAATCTATAATGTCAGCACAACCAAATAAAAGTCTTGCTGGATTATTTTGAGGAATATCATGAGTTTCAAAGTTAAACAGAAAAATAAAGGTCAACTCTGAAAAAGGAAGAGCAAAGACTGAAACATTCCCTATCAGATATAAAGACAAACTAAATGTAATGAAAACATTTCTGTAGTGACCAACTGAAAATTAACCTAAGGAAGAGAGCTCAGAGACAGACCCATTTATATAGTGAACCCTAACTTACAATGAAGGAGGTCCCACAAGTCAATGGTGGGGGCATAGACTGTTTGGTAGACAGTATGCAGAAAACTCCATGGAGAAAAATGGAATAGGTCCCCTATTTTATACTGCACATACAGGTAGGATCTAAGATTTAAGACATAATTATGGAAGGTAAAATTATAAAATCAAGAGAAGAAAATGTAGGAGAAAATTTTTGTGACTTAAGGGTAGGAAAACTTCTCATAAAAAATCATTGCACAGCCAAAACCGGTTTGGCTCAGTGGATAGAGCATCAGCCTGTGGACTGAAAGGTCCCAGGTTCAATTCCGGTCAAGGGCATGTACCTTGGTTGCGGGCACATCCCCAGTAGGGGTTGTGCAAGAGGCAGCTGATGGATGATTCTCTCTCATTGATGTTTCTAACTCTCTATCCCTCTCTCTTCCTCTCTGTAAAAAATCAATAAAATATATACATATTTTTTTTAAAATCATTGCACAGCCCATAGATGGAAACCTGATAAGTTTAATTATAACAAAATGTAGGATTCCTGTTCAATGAACAAAGATAGCGGAGAAATAGTAGGATGGGAGGAAATACTTGTAACATGAAAACTGAAAGGGATAGGAAATAATTTACTTCATTCAGTAAAGAGTGAGGGCAATTTGAAGATATTTTCAGACAAAGAGAAGTGAAGAGGTGGCCACTTCTAACCTCTCACAGAAAGAACGATTTTAGGACCCTGTAGTAGTCTGTTATATAGGTGGCCCTAATAAACCCAGCATCCCAGGATTCACATCTTTAAACAGTCCCCCCCCCTAGTGAATATGAACTGGCCTTGTGATTAAATTTGGCAGAAGGAACATGGTGCCAGTTCCAGGCATAATCCTCAAGAAAGCCTTGCACTTGGCCGGGAGGAGGCCCTGAGCTGCCATGTGTGAAGTCCCCCTAGCCTGCTGGAGAACTCACATGGAGAGACAACATGGAGATGGAGACGAGCAATCAGTCCAGTGTCTTACCTGAGTCCAGTCCTCAGACAACCTCCTAACTGAATGTAGCCACACAAGCACCCACCAGCAAGACCAGCCAAAAGCTGCCAGCTGAGCCCAGCCCAGATTGCAGAATCACAGGCAAATAAAATGACTGTTCTTTTACGCCACTACATTTTGGAGTGCTTTGTTGTGCAGATAACAGAAATATTTCAGAAGGAAGTCACTTAAATCTAATGAATCATCTTTTATATAGTAATCTAGAACCTCTCAGAATTTCAAAAAGAATAACTCAAGAGAATTTCTTCCTGGGACTAATAAAAGGAGAGGAAAGATAACCTGAGCTATTATAGAGAGAAATTTCTTACTCCGTGCACTATGCCTATCAGAATTAGACACACCTACCATGTTCACTTATGCAAATATATGAGTCTTTTAAAGAAGCCCTCTGCAGTGAAGAACTTCTAAGTGGGGAAACCTCAAAGAAGATATTCAATTTCTTAGTGGTTGGTTACTCCACATAAGAATTCAAATCGGACCCAAAGTGATTACTTTAAAAAGAAGCCTTGTTAGTTGAGGCTTGCCAGGAAATAAGGCAAAGTCTATGAAGAATGTTTGAAATCCACTCTTTGTTTCTTAGAAACCTGATATAACTAAAATAGGAATTTTCTAAACAAGGATACAACAAGCCAGTTGGTGCTAGCCATCTATATTTTATTAAAAAAAAAAAAAAACACCCACAAGATTTATTCAAATATACAACTTACTACTTATATTGAAGGAAACTTAGCAGTTTTCACTTTGACAAATTTTCTTAACATTTTGCTTGTGTCTACTTAAAAAAACATGAGTGATACTTTTCTATTAGAAATCCCATTCTTCTAAATAGTTATTTTGATCTTATATAAAAAGATTATTAATGTAAAAATAATAGTACAGATATAGTGGAAAAACAAACGAACATAATGATAGCAAAAAATTGTTATGTTATCCCTTGGTGCAAAAACAGCAACACAAACGAAAACCTAGTTTAGAAAATTATTTTTACTACTGTATCTGAGTTTGAAATTCAAAAGAATGTTAAAATATCAAGTAGTCGCTAAACAGCCACAGTATCATATAAATATGAAATACCTCCCTCACAAATTAGATCAGCTTTTCCAATTTATAAAGATTTATTACATAAAACCAAAAGTTAATACTTATTCTTACAGGGACTCGGATATGATGGAGCATAGTCATTTGTTGAATTGACTGTGGAAGGCAGCCAGGAAATTGCGTGGTGGTACAAGACATAAAGGGGACTTTCACTGTCAGCACAAGATGAAATGCCAAAGACCAGGCGTAATTAAGTGGGCTGATGGAACAGAATGACTAGGAGATGACTTATAATTGGCATTAATGCATTTTTATATACACATTTTCCATGTCCACATGCATAAGCTGACATATACAGACTCATTTATATAAGTACTTCAAAATGTTACATTAAAATATTTTCTTTTAAAGTCACATTCATCTATAATCCAGTTATCATCTAAAATATGAATAAATTGCAAGCCTATATTGGTATGTATGTTAGTTGAAATTACAGTATGACTTTATGTAATCTGTTGGATAATAGATATCATTAATCAATAAGCATTGGTTGATTCTGGGCATTGTGCTAGGACTTGGATACAATAATGGTCTTGTAAATTAGAAATACCGATAAAAGAAGAAGGAAAGACAGAAGAAAGGAGGAGGAGGAGGAGGAGGAGGAGGAGGAGGAGGAGGAGGAGGAGGAGGAGGGAGTGGAGGGAAGGCAAGTAGAGGGAGGAAAGAAGACATTCATGCCAGATTCCTGAAGTTAGATTCCAGTTCAACACCTAGTTGGTTCAGTACAATCTATAAAAATAAAAAGCATAATATGCTAATTAGACCGAACAGCCAAACAACCTTCCAGACATCCTTCTGGATGACCTGCCAGATGAAGCCAGGGCTGCTGAGGCAGTTGCCATGGCAGCGAGGGCTGAGCCCCTTGTATGAATTTCATGCATTGTGCCTCTAGTAATTAATAGAAATAGCTACCATTTGTTGTCTGCTATGTACTAAGCATAGTGGCAGACATTTTTTTTTTTTCTCATGACAAACAAGAAGTAACTGGAGAAGCCGAACCCGGTTTGGCTCAGTAAATAGAGCATCGGCTTAGGGACTGAAAGGTCCCAGGTTCGATTCCGGTCAAGGGCATGTACCTTGGTTGTGGGCATATCCCCAGTAGGGGGTGTGCAAGAGGCAGCTGATCGATGACTCTCTCATCGATGTTTCTAACTCTCTATCCCTCTCTCTTCTTCTCTGTACAAAATCAATAAGATATATTGGGGGAAAAAAAACAAAAACAAAAAGAAGTCTCTGGAGGACCTAAAGGGGGAGAGTGATATCATTTATGTTTTTAAAAAATCCTTCTGGTATGGTAACAAATTATAGAGGAGAAAGGATGGGGGTGAGGAAGCAGTGGCTGCACTACATTGGCAAGAAGATTTGGGATATATTTTGAAAATTGAAGATGTCAAGTTTTGCTGATGGGCTGGATGTAGGGAGGTGTTTTAGAATGACTTCTAGATTATTAAAACAAGAGCATCTGGGGGCATAGAAGTCACATTTATTGAGATGGAAAAGGCTGGTGGAGGAATGAGATGTTCTATTTTTGATAAGGAGGTTAGTTTCCAAGAAAAGATGTCAAGTAGGTGGTTGGCTATGTAGTCTTGAAGTTCAGTGAAGAGGCCAGGGCTGGAGAGAAAATTGGTTCGTATATTAGGTCCCTTCACTTTAAGCTTAATCTCTGTTCCTTGTTTCATCTACTTTGGGTTGCATCTCTGGAGTGCTCTCCTTCAATAATGATATTACAACCTTCTACTCCTCATCTTCTGTCAACTGTATATTTACCTTTCTTGTGAAAGGTAAATTATATTTACATAATTCTGTTCTATAAAATTTAAATTCTATTCAGTGTTTAGGCTTTCCATATTGTGTTTCTAGATTGATGCTAAAAGTTGAGACTTGCTAAACAGCATTTACAATATAAATGAATTTTGTTCACTGAGGGTCCAAATATTGTTGCAGGACTACCTTTGTTTCTCAGTGGGTCCAAGGCCCAGCACCACTTGAAGACAAATTTCTAGTGTCCATGTCATACAATTCCTCTTTTCTTGGTTAAAAAATTACTGCTCCTGAGAAGTTTGTTTATGCTTAGAATAAGAATTTTAAGAGTTCTGAATATATATACAGATGTCTGTATAAATATATTTTATTTTTTATAAAAAATATAAATGTATCTGTATAAATATATATATATATATATATACAGATATCTAGATAGATAGAGATATCTATCTAGATATCTGTATAAATTCAGTTTTCACAAAACTTATTTAACCACTTCTTCCCCTGTTTTTTTTTTAAATTAAATTTATTGAGGTGACATTGGTAATAGGGTCATATAGGATTTAAATGTACATTACCATGTACATTACACATGATCTGAACATTGCATTCTGTGCCCACCGCCCATAGACAAATCATCTTCCTTCATCAAATATTTGGCCCCCTTTATGCTCTTCCACCTACTCATCCCCTTCCTTTTAGTACCCCCATTCTGTTCTCTATTTCTCTGAGTTTCCGTTTGATATCCTACATATGCGTGAAATCATATGGTTGTTGGCTTTCTTTGACTGACTGATTTTGCTTAGCATAATGTTCTCAAGGTCCATCCATGTTGTTGCAAATGGCAGTATTTCATCATTTCTTATGGCTGAGTAGTATTCCATAGCATATACGTATGTATTATACCACATCTTCTTTATCAGTCCTTTATTGGAAGACATATTGGTCGTCTCTATGTGTTGGCCAACCTGGGTTTTTGTTTGTTTGTTTTTGAGCATCTATAAACATCGCAAAAACCAGTACCCTTCAGATTGCGCTTTGAGAAATACTACCGTGTTTCCCCAAAAATAAGACATCCTCCGAAAATAAGACCTAGCGCATGGAAAGATAAGACAGCCCCTGAAAATAAGACCTAGCGCAACTTTGGGAGGAAAAAATTAATATAAGACACTTATTTTCGGGGAAACAGGGTACCAAATAGTGTTGCCTACTATTTTAACAGTGGAAATTTTTAAAGTTTGGTTCAATAAAGAGCATAATGCTACTAAGTTTCTGACTTGGAAGTTAGTGCTTACTAGTCAGTACAATTTTTATGATGGTATATTAAACGTGTGGAGATAAGCTATCCACAAGGAAGGGATAAAGAAAAACACATGTCAAGGGATGCACTTGCTTGTCTGTTTTCACCTTCTGTAGAGAAGAGGTTTTCTCAGGAGGTGCCAGCAGATCTAACTATCGTAACTTGATAGGAGAACCTGAGATAATTGAGAAGTTTTACCGCTGCTAACCTTACCTATTCCACAAGTAGGCTTTTGAAACTTGCTGTGTCTGACTGGCAAAACCAATGGGCACATTGGTTTTTGAAAGTCACTCCTCTGGGTGCTCTTAGTGTCATAAGGTGGTTGAAAGTGATGCTCAGGTTCTTTACCATGTGACCACCAGTCAACCTTTATGGAAAAAAAATTAGAAATATAAAATTGGATACTATAGGCCATTTCTGTGTGCTGCTTAAGGTCTTTTAATGGACAGTCATTCGGTTCCATGAGTCATTGGATAGTCTAGTACTAAAACAAAGTTCTGAAGTCTAATATATTTTCATAAAGGCTGTATTTCTTAAAAGACACCTAAAAATGAAATATCTCACATTTTTAGCTAAAATACAGATGCTAAATTCTTAAACTACCTTCTATTAATAGATGGAGTTATAAAAATCAACAAAATAGTTATATTTCTGTATTGTACAATTTTATTATATACTGGAGGCCCGGTGCACGAAATTTGTAAGGATAGGTTCAGTTAATAGTCTGATTTACATTGAGCCGAAACTAGAGCTCAGGAGAGTCACTCATTGACTTTCGTAAAATACCTTGGAACTTCACTAACCTGGATCTCTGTACTAGGCTTATTTCCCCAGTGTAGGCCTCGTCGGTAAATTTCTTTTAAATGCCAAATAATTTTTAATAAAATAGTCTTAAAACTGCCCATGTAAGGGTTTACTAAATGATATTACAGCATATCTGACCTCAAAAATTCCCACTTCATATCCACACATACTTGTCATGGTGTGCAATTTTATAAAAACGGTTGGTGTTATCATTGTAAAGAGAACCCTCTAAAACAAACTTCTGTTCAAATGTTGTTAAATCACAACTACACCTAACTCACAACTATACCCAAATTTGCAAGGCAAAAGGAACTCTGTGGCTGTTATTGAGAGAGAGAGAGAGAGAGAGAGAGAGAGAGAGAGAGAGAGAGAGAGAGAGAGAGAGATGAGAGATGGTGCTGGTTTTGACCAGGAAGGAGCCATGAACCAAGGAATGCAGGCAGCCTAGAAACTGGAAACAGATTCTCTCCTCAGGCCCTCTAGTGGTTCTCAACTTGTGGTGACCCTGCTAGCGGTTCTCAACTTGTGGATCGAGACCCACAGATTGAGAACCGCTAGCAGGGTCACCTAAGACTATCGGAAAACACAGATGTTTACATTACAATTCATAACAGTAGCAAAATTACAGTTATAAAGTAGCAACGAAAATAATTTTATGGTTGGGGGTCACCACAACATGAGGAACCATAATAAAGGGTTGCGGCATTAGGAAGGTTGAGAATCACTGATCTAGAAGGAACCAGCCCTATGGATCGCCAATGAGACCGATGTGAGACTTCTAAGCTCCAGAAGTGAAAGGGAATAAATTAGTGTTGCTTTTAGCTAGTGTTTAAGTTTGTGGTTATTTGTAACAGCAGCAGTAGGAAACTGATAAGTTATACCTCAAAAAAAGTCAAATTTAATAAAGGGAGATAATGGAATATATTTACTCTAATAATGTGAATAAGAATGTGGTTTGGCTAAAGCAGTAGTCCTGGACCAGAGAGAGATGACTGTGGCTTTTGCTTACTTTGTAATCTCAGACATGTTAATTTACTTTTTGGAGTATGTTATCTGTAAAATATTTCCAGTGATACATCATAGAAATTATTGTGCAGACTAGGGGATATAACATATGAAACACTTAGCTCATTCCTAACACTTCATACACTTTCAATAAATGGTAGCTATTATTTTATAGAAAGCATCTGAATTATTCTAATATAAACTTTTTATATTAGAATATGTTACAAATACTATAGAAGATATTTTTCAGTAACCTCTGAGCCCTACTGTGTGTGTGTGTGTGTGTGTGTGTGTGTGTATATATATATATATATATATATATGGAATCTAAATCATTTTTCTGGAGTGAATATGGCATATATATATATACAGTAGGTCCTCAGTGCGACATAACATGATTTTTGCCGTCAGTCGGAACCCACCTACGTATGCACTTACGTCACTCACATGGAGCACATACACAGCAGTAATGAAGTGAAGCAGTAAAAAAAATTTTAAAAGAAAGATAACAATTCCTGACCTTTACTTGTGGTACATAAATAATAAAAAAACATAAAGTACATATGTACATACATTGAAATGATGGACTTTTTTTATTTTATAAATAAATGGGAGATGGCGACGTAACCATGAAATGACCTACGTCCAGTCTGACGTAACCCAAGGACTGTCTATAATGAAATGCATGTAATGTATATGAAATATGTGTGTTTGTATATGGTTTATATGCAAAAGTTACATGAGAGTAGTTCCAGGCTACTGCTTTAAACTATGCATATAAAAGGTTAATATGCAAGGTGTCCCCTCGAGAGTTCAACCAGGATTTTGATTGCTCATTATGATGTGCACTAACTATATGATGTGACCGGGGGGGGGGGCAGCTTGGAATGAAAGAAGGCCCCAGCAGGCAGCCGGCAGCTGGGGAAGGGAGGCCAGGGCCCGCAGCCAGGAGGCCCAAATCCCAATTGGCTCTGATCACCAGCCAGGCCTAGGGACCTTATTTGTGCATGAATTTTGTGCACTGGGCCTACAGTTGGATTATAAAAAGTATTACTCTGACATATGTTACATCCTTTAAGTAGTCTGTGTCTAAATTATCTTGCAAAAGAGCGTCTGAATCTAAATTTTAGTTGTATATAATGAACATCTGTCCAACCTGATATTCTGACCCTTTCTTGGAATCTATGTAGGGAACTGGTTCATTGCATGTTCTTGCATTTGTGTTAATGAATTTAGCATAATATACACGGCGTATCATGACGCCTGGTTTTGAATGTGATGTGTTCTTTCCAGGTTCTTTTTCATGTTTGAGTTCTTCTTTTTCAGTTATATACATTATACCAGCATCTTCTATTTTATGCTGTCTGAAAAACAGAATGAAATAGTAAATCATTTTATCTCAATGAGCATTTTCAGTAATGAGTTATAATTACATAAAATAAGAGTTAAATATATTTCAAGTATCAGTCAAGAAGACTATTTAGGCTTTATTATAATTTATAAGGGGCTCCTGCTATTAAAATTTGAGAGGGGATCTTCTCTAAATTATGTGAGATAAAGGGATTTGTGTGAATATTGATTATGTAGTCCAATAGACCAACACAGTGTACAGACTCTCGCTGAGAGGAGAGGAGTAGTGATTTGATCGCTCTCACAAAGCATATTTGTAGTATTTTATCATACGACTGTTACTTACTAATCTTAACTCACCTTTAAGCTAGTTACCTAGTAAATTCATCCATCTGGATGAGGAAGACTATTTTAAAAGCTCACCTGGAAAACTTACAAAAACTACCAAATGACCAAAAGAATTAATCAAGAAAAGAACACCGTGCAGGCATCAAAACAATTCCATTTCTTATCACTTGTTACTTCTAATAACTACACTGGTATTTTTTTTAAAAATGAAACTTACTGAGTTCTTTAAAAAGTTAAAAGAAATGATTAGAAGGAAATAGTTTATAGATTTTTCTTCTTTTAAATAAGTTGTAGTAGACATTATAAAAGGGAGTATTTTAAATGTCATACACTTGAAAAGTAAAGGTAAGAATGGAACATATGAATTAGAATACTTAGAAGCTTTTAAAATAGAATCCCTTAAAATATAACCCCTCCCTTCAAACCAAAGCCAGGGCCAGGTCCTTTATCAAGTCCTTTTTCAGTTAAACCCTCCAATATTTTTTCATTGCATTTGCAATGAATGCTGCCTTCACACAGTGGCTCCGAGGTCCTGGGAGACCCTGTCCAGCGGAAGTCTTCAGTTGCACTCAAGACCCTCCCCTTCACTTCTCCAGCCAGCCTCCCTTCCTTCAGCACCACTGTCTTTCCCCGCAGGTATTTGCACATAATGCTTTTCCTCTGCCTGAACCAGCTCGTTCCCAGCTTCCTGCACACCTGCCTCCCTGCACACCTGGTTCACTAACATTTCCGTCTCAGCCTGGAGGTCATCGCAGAAACGTTTCCTAAGGTTTCTCCTTCCTCACTCTATGTAATCTCCATTTTAGTATCTCGTTCATTTCTTGCATAACACCACGATTAATTATTTATGTACCTACTTCTTGTTTACATGATTTTGGTAAGCACTACAATACCTTTTACTAATCAATAAGTTCCATGAAGGCAAAGATTGTGTTTCATTTATCATTAGGTTCCCACCATCTGGACCCTTATATTTTCTATGCAGATCCACCACCGCTAGTGAATCCCCTGGAACTGTTTTCTCTGGCTTTGTTGTGGCAGTACACTCCCAGCCCTTACTCGAATACACACAAACACTGTTCAGCATCCTGGGATCCTAGTTCCCTGCATCCCAACAAAAAGTGCTCTCTGTAAAGGATTTGGAAAAGCTGATTCCTGCTAAAGTATAAATAACTCCTAGGGCTTTTCCTATTACCTTTCCATAGATGGAAACATTTATTTAAAGGTTGTGATTGATTCAAAACTTCTGACGTTCGTTTTTTTCCATCTGCTTCTCATAACTATAACCCAGCAAGATGCTTGTACTGGAACCGGTCCTTGGAGGAAAGGACTGTGGCTGTTTACTTGCATACATAAGCATCCACCCAATTAAGTGCTCGTGGTATGAGTAACTATACATCAATGTCAAGTATATGATTCTATAATAACCTCTTATTAGAAGGAAAACACAGTTAAAACCTGTGTTCGAAAAACTCAAAGTTAATCAGAGCTGGGATTCCAGCATTGACTGTCTGAGCCTTGGTTTCCTCATTTGAAAGCTAAGGACAGTAATGCCTGCTGTGAGAGATGTGAGAATAACATTGAATAATTCATTCCTTCAACAAATACTTATTGAGCCATGCCTCTAAGTGCTGTGGTGAGGCCCTGAAGCTGCGGGAGGGATCTGACAAAAACCCTGCCTTCACAGGGCTTGCATTCTAGCAGGAAGGCAGATGGAAAAGAAAATAATAAGTAAAACACATACAGGCATACCTCAGAGATATTGCCTTACACTACCCACCACCATAAAACAAGTATTGCAATAACGCAAGGTGTAACCTTTTTGCTGGTGGAGGGACTTGCCTTCAGTTTGTAAGAACTACAACCTCTGTGGAGCACAGTAAAGCGAAGCACCATGAAAAAAACTATGCCAGTATTCTGTGAGATGGTGTTGTGTACTAAGGCCAATACTAAAGAATGGGAGACAGGCGTGTGTGTGTGTGTGTATCGATATATGGGAGGTAAATTGCATTTTTATATAGTGTGCAGGCTGCCTTATGAAGGTGGCAAGTGAAAAAGACAGGGAAGAGGGAAGAGAATCCCAGCAGAGTGAACTCTCACTGCCAGGCTGTGCCGCAGAAGCGCACCTGTCTCACCATGGTGCTCAAGGTGTGGACCCCAGAGAAGCAACATTGGCCTCAATGGTCGGCTTGTTAGAAATATTTCCTATCCCAAACTACTGAAACACAATCTCTGGGGCAGGTTCCCAGGAACCTGTTTTAACCGGCTCTCTAGATGATTCTCGTGTACGTTCGAGTCTGAGAACCACTGTGTAGTGACAAAAATACTGGCTTTAGAAGCAGATAGTACTGGCTCCACATCATAACGAGCTAGGCAATCGTTCTCAAAACTTGGGATCCATCAGAACCCCCTGGAGGCCTTGTTCAAACCAGACTGATTACTGTGCCCTGCTCTTAGCGTTGCTGAGTCGGTGTGCCTGTGGTGGGGAGCGTGCAACAATTGCGTTTCTAATACCTCCCCAGGTGATGCTGGCCTGGGGACCACACTTTGAGAACCATTGCTGATGCCAGCAAGGCGGCCTGTGTGCTGGAGCAGAGTTGCGTCAGAGGGCGAGTAGTAGACAAGGCCACGGAAGGGAAGAGGGGCCCAATGAGTAGGCCCCATACGCCATGGCTGGAGCCTTAGCGTCTTCTTTGCAAGGGCCAGTGGAGAAGGGGGGTCTAATTTGTCTTGTACGAAGCCCACTCGACCGAGTGCTGTGTTGGGAAGGCTGGAAAGGGACAAGGAGCGAAGCAAAGGCCTTTGTACTGTCCACGTAGAGCAGGTACTTAGACCAGGTGGGGTGATAGCGTAAGGCACTCATCGCGGTGGATTCTTGATATATTTTAACGATAAAGCCTACCTACTAGGGGGGAAAAGAGGACCTAGGTAATACTTTCAACTATTAAGATTTTTTTTTAATAAAAAAAGAACCGAAAAGAATAAAAAGTAAAATTACATTCTATCTCTTACAGAAATTTGCTAGCAAATTAGATGTGGTTTGTGAGAAAGAGTGGATAATTCGGGATGACTTCAGCAATGTTAGGCCAGGCTGTAGTGCTAAGAACCTGGCACACCTGGCACACAGCAGATGCCCAGAAAACGGAGCGCTTTCAGAAGCGGGGCTGTGAGTGCCCCACCACCTGGACGGAGACAGCGATGGGGACTGGAGGAGGGAAAGCCCCCCATTGGGGATGGGGGACTGGCGGAGGGAGAGCCCCCCATTGGGGGTGGGGGACTGGCGGAGGGAGAGCCCCCCATTGGGGATGGGGGACTGGCAGAGGGAGAGCCCCCCATTGGGGGTGGGGGAATGGCAGAGGGAGAGCCCGCCTGGGGATGGGGGACTGGCGGAGGGAGAGCCCCCCCCCCATTGGGGGTGGGGGACTGGCAGAGGGAGAGCCCCCCATTGGGGGTGGGTGAGGGAATGGCAGAGGGAGAGCCCCCCATTGGGGATGGGGACTGGCAGAGGGAGAGCCCCCCTGGGGATGGGGGACTGGCGGAGGGAGAGCCCCCCATTGGGGATGGGGACTGGCAGAGGGAGAGCCCCCCTGGGGATGGCTCCATGAGCGCCCCCGGAGGAGGAAAATGCTGTTTGGAAGGAGAACCAGCACATCAAACCTCAGCACTTACTGCTGCGGATCCTCCTTTGGTTCCATGGGCTCCTCTGACCTGACAGGAGGCGGCCAGGAGCCTGGGGTCGATCTGGGACTAAGCTCTGCCAGGAAAAGGGCATTCGGAGCCGCGATTGTGACTCACGCGTTGCTAAGCAACCGAGGCCTTTGGGAGCGCGGGGGTTGGGGGGGGGGGCAAGGAGGAGGGGAGGATGGGGGTGCCGGGAGGAGCGGGGAGGGGGGGGGGAGACGGGGTGCCGGGAGGGGGGGGTACCACTGTGCATGCGCAGTACCCCGGCTCCGGCTCTGCAGGGGTAGCTGGCGTGTCCACACTGCGCCTGCGGCGGCGGGCGGGGGAGGCTGGCCGGATCTCTGGGCTTCCTTCCCGGACCTACCCCAGGCTGGACAGCCTGCGTTTGAACTTGGCCTTCCCTCCATCTGGCCAGGAAGCATCTTTATTTATCAGGGCCCACCCCACCCTTGGGATCAGCAAGGGGCGTTCTGGAGCCTCCCCTTGGCCCTGGCGCTAAGTGTCCCTGTCCCTCGCAGCTCGAGTCTGTCTGCACCTCACCCCGGAGCTGCGGGCTGCAAAGTGCAGGCAGGCAGGCAGGAGAGAGACTTGTTTTCCCCAGAACCACTAAGCACTGTGCACGACATGATTGCTGCTCTTGGGCTGCCTAGTCCTTGCACGAGAAAAAGCTTGGCCCTCAAGGTTCACCGTTTCTGACAACACCCTTTCCCCTGCGGCAAGCATTAAAAGAGACATGCATATAAGTACAACCAATGGACACAAAACTCTGGGGAGGGAGGGCATGCATGGGAGGGGACGGGCAATGGTAAGATATGTACACAGATAATTTAATAATAATAAAAAAGAAACCAAATAAATAAAAAAATAAAATCAACAACAAAATAAAAATAGAGGGGGGGAGCACTCGGGTCTTGCAAATGAGACTCCCCGCGGTGTGTGCATCTGCTCCAGGCGCAGCCGGTGCAGAACGGGGCCAGGGGACTGGAGCTCTACCGCTGGCGGGGCCTGTTCCCGCAGCGCTTATCCAAAAGAGCCAGCTCCGGGAAAGCAGCTGATGGCCTGGTCCACCTTCTGGCCCTGGAATGTCTTACCTCATTTCACCATTGCCGCCCAGTTTCCACTGCCAGAGCCAAATGTCTTTGGCATCTGTCATGGTAACCCGTGCATTTCCCTGGTTGAAGGGAGAAGAAAAGTCCTTACTAAGTTGAATTCTGGTGTGCATGTGTTTTGTAACCCAGAGTCAGTATGACTTTGTCTTGACGTTTACCTTGAAGAAATGTGGGAGAGTGGAGTTTGGCCCTAGGACTCTTTGTACATATGTGAGCTTATGTCCTATGAGGAAAAGAGTATATGAATAGAAGTAAGACTTGAATGTGTGGTTAAGTACTATAGTATTTGTGTGTGTATGGGGATTAAGGGGTGGGTAAATAAATATGAAGACTGCTTTAAACACTGCATACAGTCATCCTCAATTTCCCCAAATCTGAGGATAGTCAAGTAAGTCCCTTATATAAAATGGCATCCTATTTGCAAGTAACCCCAAATATCCTCCTGTATACTTTAAATCACCTCGAGATTACTTATAATACCTAATACAGTGTAAATGTTATTTTAAGAGTTGTTATGCTGTATTGGTTAGGGTAGTGGTCGGCAAACTGAGGCTCACAAGCCACATGCAGCTCTTTGGCCCCTTGAGTGTGGCTCTTCCACAAAATTCCACGGCCTGGGCGAGTCTATATTGAACAAGTGGCGTTAGAAGAAGTTTAAGTTTAAAAAATTTGGCTCTCGAAAGAAATTTCAATTGTTGTACTGTTGATTATTGGCTCTGTTGACTAATGAGTTTGCCAACCACTGGGTTAGGGAATAATGACAAGGAAAAAAGTATGTACATGTTCAGTACAGATGCAACCGTCATGGCCTAAATACATACATAGTGCACGTCAGCAAAAATGTAATATTTTTTATTTGCAATTGGTTGAATTCTGGGGCTAGAAACCTGAGGATATAGAGGGCCAACTCTGCTTACTTGGTTTTATCCTAATCATTATACTGTGAATAGGGGCATATGCCCTGGCTCCACCACTGAGGAGCTGGTTTGCTTGGGCAAATGATCAAACTTCAGTGCGCCTCAATTTTCTCATCCACAAAATGGGATCAGTGCTTGCTTGAGCTTGTTGTGAGGTATAGATGGTTTACTACAGCCAGACACCTAGTTACTCCTTGGTCATTATTAGCTACTATTTTTTTAAAATAAATTTTTATTGTTCATATTTTCCTTCCCCCCCCCCCCCTCCATTGCTCTCCTCCACCAGGTTCCCATCCCACCCTTTGCCCTTTCCCCACTCCCCATTGTCCTCATCCATAGGTGCACAGTTTATGTTCAGTCTCTTCCCACATCCCCCTCTTTCCTTTTCCCCAAGAATCGTCAGTTCACTCCCCTTCCATACCTCTGATTCTATTATATTCAACAGTTAATATTGTTCATCAGATTTTTTTTTAATTTCCTTGGTTTTTAGATTCACTTGTTGATAGTTATGTATTTGTTGTTCATAATTTTTATCTTTATTTACTTTCTCTTCCAAAAGAACTCCCTTCAGTAATTCATATAATTCTGGTTTGGTGGTGATGAACTCCTTTAGCTTTTTTTTTATTAGTGAAGATCTTTATCTGGCCTTCGATTCTGAGTGATAACTTTGCTGGGTAGGTTATCTTTGGCTGTAGGTTCTTAATATTCATCACCTTGAATATTTCTTGCCATTCCCGTCTGGCCTGCATGGTTTCTGTTGAGAAATCAGCTGACAATCGTATAGGTGCTCCTTTATAGGTAACTACCTGCTTTGCTCTTGCTGCTTTTAATATTCTCTCTTTAGCTTTTGCTCTTGGAATTTTAATTATGATTTGTCTTGGTGTGGTCCTCTTTGGATTCCTTTTGTTTGGAGTTCTGTGCATTTCCTGGACTTGTAAGTCTAATTCTTTCACCAGGTGGGGGAAGTTTTCTGTCACTATTTCTTTCAGTATGTTTTCGAGTATATCTTGCTCTCTCTCATCTTCTGGGACCCCCATAATTCTGATGTTGGTTCACTTGAAGTTGTCCCAGAGGTTTCTTACATTATCTTCAATTTTCTGGATTCTCTTGCCTTCTTGCTTCTGTGGAGGAGTGTCTTCTGGCTCTTTATGTTTCAAATCTTTGACTTGATTTTTGCAATCTTCCATTCTGTTTTTAGGACTCTGTATAATATTTATTTCAGACAATGTATTCTTTATTTCTTGTTGATCCCTTATCATTTCTCCTTGATTCCTTATTAATTCTAGTTGATCCCTTTTCATATCCTCATAGGTCTTATCGACCTTTTCTAGGAAATTCTTGAAAAATCTTATAAGCGTAGATTTGAACTCTATATCCAGTCGCTTTTTGTCCTCCATTTCTTTTGTTTGAGATCTATTTCTTGTCACATTTTCACAGCTTCCCTGATGGGGCGGAGTTTCAGGGTGGAGCCTACAGCCTTGGCTTCCGTCAGCCCCGCCCTATGCGACTCCTGAGTCTCAGTAAGCCCCAGGGTCCTTCAGTACTCACTGCAAGCACCTCTGAGAGAAAAGTGCCCTCGATTTTTGCCTGCTACCAAACAGTCTAGGCTCTCCCCCAATGAGCCCGGAACTGGGGTTCAGTTCAGTTGGAAGTGGGATTGGAGGTGGTGTTCAGAGAAGTCTGGAGCCCCAGTCTCCTTCCCTCCAGGGCAATTCCGCGGCAAAGTCCCTTCTCTGTGTGCAATGTGCGCGCCTCTGGGACCTCCTTTCACCGCTCCCCCGGGGTTCCGCCTTACAGCCCAGCTCCCTCTGTTTGAGCCTGGGTCCCCGGGGTCTGGCCTAGAGCAGTCGGAACTGGGGCCCAGCCCAGTCGGAGCTTTTATCTCCTTCCCGCTAGGGAACGCCAGCCAGGCACTCAGTCGCCCCTTCTCTCCGGCTTCGTCCTCTCCACGTGCGCCACGTGTCTCCGTACCTTAGGCTTTTACAGATCCTCCACGCTTCCTTCTGGTTTTCTCCTTGCTTCTCGTTGTAGAATTTCCAGTTAGTCAACTTTCCTGTAGTTCTGGGTAATGTCCATTTTATATTTTAGTTGTATTTTATTGAAATTGTTGTGTGCGGCTGCAGCTAGGTGTTTACCTGTGCAGCCATCTTGGATTC